GTAATGTTTAGAAAGCAGTTTTTGTTTGCATTTTAATCTTTAGTACTTTCCAATGCAGAAATTTATATAAGCTGCATAACAAATACCCCCTGCTTGTCCTGGTGTGGTCCTGTGGGTTATTGCACTGTACTGCAAAATTCGTTTCAACCACAAGGGTGGGAACCGACTGGACAGCACTTAACACCAACAGTCACACTACTGGAGTCCTGGTGTGGCGCTGTCGGTAAATGCACTGGACTGTAAAGTCTCTTGGAACTGTAAGGTCAGCGGTTCAAGCTCGCCAGCTGCTCCTCGGAAACCCTGTACAGGGGTTACTGTGAGTCAGAATTGACTCTTAACAACAAAGTCACACTATTATTTAATCATTTGGTAAATTGGGCTGACCTCCATTGTTATGAATTTGGTAAACTGGGCCAAATTCAACCTTTGGAATTGGAATGCTGGTACTAGTTCTGAATCACAGCTACCGACCATAGAACAGAGTAATCTGCCCCATCGCTTTCCAAGGCTTTAAATCTTTACAGAAGCTGACTGCCACTTATCTTTTCAGCATAGTAGCTGGTAGATTTGAACCGCAGACCTTTTGGTTAGCAGCCGAGCACATAAGGACTGCGCTACCAGGGTTCCTTTAACCTTTGGAATAAGCACACAGATAGGAGGAATCTATAACTTGACTGACTACATAGGCTACGGAAAAGCAATAAATTGGATTACTTGGTTTTTAGCGCCATCTAGTGTGAGATATCGGGATTATAATTATTTAATCAAACGTCAGTGGGTTTTGGATAGGAGCCCTGATGGCGCAGTGGTTTAAATATAGGGCTGTTCACTGAAAGGCAGGCATTTCAACCCACCGTGCAAGAAAGATGAGCAATCTGCTTATATAAAGATTTACAGACTCAGAAACCCTACGGAGCAGTTTTTCTCTGTCCTATAAGGTTGCTATGAGTCAGATTTGACTCTACGGCAGCAGTTTTGGTTTTTGGTTTGGACTGTCTGTATGAGGAACACTGGTAGTATAGTGGTTAAAGTGTTTAGTCACTAACCAAAATGTTCGAGGTTTGAACCCACCAGCTGCCCTGTACATATAAGGTGAGGCAATCTGCTTCAGTAAAGATTTACAGCCTTGGTCACTTTACAGGGCAGTTCTATTCTGTACTATAGAGTCACTATAAGGCAGACGCCACAAGATGACAATAGTTACTGGTAATGAGTAGTGTCTGTACTTAGTTCCCTTATTTTTGGAAATAAGTTTTTATTTTTGGAAAAATTATGGGGCATCTAGTCTTTTAATGAAAATACATCCAACTCCTCACAGTTTAGGGAAATGATTCAATAAATATCTTTTGGATGCTGTTCATTATATTTAAAACAACAGTCTCAGGATTCTTAGAGCTGGTCAGAAGTCAAAGAGTTTTGTATTTGGGACAAAAAGATTGGAGTCATCTTCGATGCTTCCCTCATTTGGTATGTTCATTCTGTCAAGCCTTAAAAAATTAATTTCTGACAAAAGTGTCTAGTCACCTACACTCATTTAATCCTTCTATTGGAATCGTCTGCTTAGTGGAAGAAAGTATTGACTATTGCTTGAGACTCTAGAGTTCCTGAATCCAGGTCCTGCTCCCCCTATAGCACCTTGGAGAAGAATGACTGTAGGTGTGCCCAGAAAGAGAAGATATGAGGAACAGGATTCCCAGCTTCACAAAAGATGTCCTTTTCTCACAGTGTGGTTGACAAGCAGTCGAGAGCTGCTGGACTTGATGGGGACCATGGCAAGGATTCTGACCTAAGCTGTGTTAGCAGATGGCCAATGCCAATATTCCAACCTTTCCCTTCACCCCATACTTGGAAATGTGTTGTCTGAGTTCCTAAAACCAAGATATAATACTAGGACTAGAAGTACGGCAAGAATTCCCAAGAATGTCAGAGCTGGAATTTCCTACTTAGTCATTGTTGTGGTTAAGTGCCACTGAATTTGTTCTGACTCATAGCAACTCATAGTGACCCTGTATAGGGTTTCCAAAGAGTGGCTGTTGGGTTTTAACCTCTGACCTTGTGGCTTGTAGTCCAGTGCTTATCCTATAGCACTATACCAGAAGTTAGCAGGAAAAAAGCTCATAATCAAGATTTAGTTGATTTATAGAAAATAAAACTAAACAAAAAAACCAGTTGCTGTCAAGTCCATTCTGACTCAGGGTATTCATGTGTTTGAGTATATGGTGCACCACAGGCTGCACTGTTTCAATGGCTGATTTGTCAAAAATAGACCACCAGCCTGTCAGTTAGCAGCCAAGAGGTGCAATAGATTTGTGGCTGATGAATTAGACCTGTGTATATGTCTGCACCCTTAGAAATGGAGTAATTTTATTTCAAGACCTCATTGTGTATGGAAATTGATGTGAAGACATGAACTTTGGTCTTTACAAATCACTGATGACTGTGGGAGTAGCTGGAGCATCTGAGGAGACCAGATGGAAAGGATGCTCCAGCGGACTGAATTCCCATAGGTTCAGAGTGGTTGGCAGAAGAAAGAGGGTGAATTTGAGTTTGCTCATGAGATTTCCTTCTATGCCGCTCTTAGACACATTGGTTACTTTGTGGGTAACTGTTTTCTCTCTTACCAAATAGCAGAAATCCCAACACTGCGAGGGATTCCTGGTATGGGAGGAGAGATTGTCCATTCACTTGGATTCTACTCTTCTATCCTAACATTTTTGGGAGAAAGATGAGGCTTTCTGCTCCCATGAAGATTTAAAGCCTTGGAAACCCCATACAGGGTACTTATGAGTTTGATGGCACTTAACAACAATCTTATCCTCTACTGTGGGAAAGGGAAGTCAGAGGGCCCACCAAATTGAGAGTAAAAACTGAGCACACACTGTTGCCTTACAGCCAACAGAACTAACTGCTCACTGCCTGGTGGTAGGAAATCTCGTGGGAACTCTGTAGGCCTAGGTCTGAGCTCCCTGGTCTCCTAGGGGAATGTAAGATACTCTCCTAGAACCAGGCTCGCTTTCCCATCCATGGAGGAGAGTTGGAAAACCAAATATTTCACCATGCTGAGCATGTTATCCACTTTATCCTGCTCGAAGAGAAAGGAATTGGGTGTTATTTGGGCAGACTGCAAGGAAACTGGGTGTTGTCAGGAAACAGTGGCACTTTCACTAAAAAGTCTTAGCATGTGCAACATCAGGGTAGACCAGGAGTCTGATCTGAAATTCTGGTTGCTTTAGAGACATATGCTTTGGACCATATTTATGGGAGAATGTCCACTCCTACCAAGAGGCTTTTAGAGATAGACCTGCCCAGTAAGTCCTATACCTGTCAAAATATATTCTCCAAAGCCGTGCATTCCTGAAGTTTCAATTGGTACTGAAATTCAAACTGCTACCTTATGATTGAAGGAGCTCTGGTAGCACAGTGGTTATGAATCAGGCAGCGAGCCACAGGATCAACAGTTCGAAACTACCAGCTGTTCCGCGGGAGAAAGATGAGGCTTTCTGCTCCCGTAAAGATTTACAGCCTCGGAAATCCTGTACAGGGTCAGTATGAGTCGGAATTGACTCCACGGCACATAACAACCACCACCTTATAACTAATTTGCACATCCAGCTTTGTATTAATATTTTAAGGAATCCAATCTGTTAACTAAAGAAGTCTTATTATGGGGTGACATTTATAACATGGTTCCAAGCACTCCTGCTTAATATGAAAGGAAAGACTATTGAAAAGGAAATGGAAAACACCCACGAGTAAGCGGTATCCCACTCTGAAATTTTGCCTTTGCCAATTAGATACTGTGGTTCCGTAGCCTATCATCAATTCCAACTCATAGAAACCCTATGCAAAAAAGAACTGTGGGGTCCTGCGTCACCATCACATTCGTTTTTAAACTTGATCCCATTGTTGTTGCCATCTCATTGGGGTTCTTGCTCTTTTTCACTGGCCCTTCACTTTACCTAGCATGATGTCCTTCTTCAGGGACTAGTCCCTCCTGACAGTAAGTCCGGTGTACGAGAGACGAAATTTCGCTATCCTGGCTTCCAAGAAGCATTCTGGGTATACTTGTTCCATAACAGATTTCTTTGTTCTTTCTAGCAGTCCATGGTATTTCTAATATTCTTCTCCAACACCATTACTCAAATGCATTAGCTAGTAACTTTCTGAGACACGAGCTCTCTAAGATTCCCAAGTTATGTTTGAACTTTGATGCAGAAATATACAAACAAAACTCCCAAAATGCTTTGAAATCATTTTGAATTCATGCATGAATCCTCAGAAGTACCCTCCAAGACATATTTTACCCACTTCTGGTCCTCCGATCCCTTGCTCTTAGAATTTTTCTAAAATTTGTTTCCCTGATGCATCAGAGAAACCATTCCCTAAACCCTTATCAAACTCAGATCCAGCCATGGCGCCAATCTTAAAAAGGGATGACGAACGTCCTGAGTGTAGCGGTGGGAACACCCTTTCATTACAAAGGCAAGCGTCTTCATGAAAGCGGCAGGGTAGGTTACGAGTGGAAAGAGGCTTAATTTTCTTCCACTTTCGGTGCTTTATCTTGATAGTCGGGCTGGGAAAAGAAAAGAAATACCGGTTTTGCATCTGCGCAAAAGCATCCTAAAGCGCGCTTCGGGATATCCGCCCGGCGGGACGAGGGAAGACTCGCCCCTCCTATTCGCCGTGGCCTTAACGCTTTCCTTTCCCTCCGCGGAGTTTCCCTTCTTCCCCTCTGACCTCGAAAAGAAGGGGGCGGGGTCTTGAGGGCGGAAGTTGCAGTGCATTGTGGGCACTCCTGGAGCGGCGGAGTTGAGTCTGAGTGAAAGTGGCGCGCTGACCCTGACGTTACCCGTGGAGGAGCTGCTAAGATTCGGACCCCGGCTGGATTCTGGTGCCTCGGGCCTTCGAGGCGGAGCGGACCACGCGGGGCAGCAGCCGCGGAGGCACGGCAAGCGTTGCTGTAGGGGGGGCGGCTCTCCGCGGCCCCGCGGCCCCAAGACATGGCTCATAACAAGATCCCGCCGCGGTGGCTGAACTGTCCGCGGCGTGGCCAGCCGGTGGCAGGTAACCCGGGCGGGAGGGAGTCTGAATCACTTGGTTAGCTCTGGAGTGGGCCGTCTGAAGGGCGCAGCTTTTGGTGGTTCCGAGCCCGTTAGTGGTATTTCGGGATGGAGATGTGCTCAGTCGGATGAAGCACTGTGGATACGTGGGAACCAGGACAGGAGAGGGTTGGTCGGTGGGTGGGGACACTTGTCACTAGCCTGTAAGACTAAATATTGTGATCGCGAAGGTAGACAGAAGGTTTGTGTGGGCAGAAGCCGAGGACCCAGAAATATACAGTACTTTGAAGCTCAGACAGAAGTTTGTGAATCTTTCAGAATTCTTGGAAGGGGACGGTGTCAGTGTTGAGTTGCAGGAGGACTAACAGAAAGTGGAGGGGAAGGTTCCCAGCGGGATTATGGGGCGTGAATGAGACTAGGGTACTAGAGTTTCTTGTGGATTTCTAACCTTTATTGAATGTCACATACAATAAGCTTTACGTTTCAAGTGTATAGTTTCATGAATTTTGAATGTATGTATGTGTCTTTGTATGTTTCCTGGGTGGTGCAAGCTGTTTGCACTCAACTACTGTGGCACTGTAGGATAAGCACTGGACTATAAACTGCAAGGTGGGCGGTTCAAACCCACCAGCCGCTGCTCGGGAACCCTATACAAAGTTGCTATGAGCTGAGTCAACTCCGCAGCATCTTAACAACATAACATCTCACCTAGAGGTTGGTGGTTGGAACCTACCCAGCACCTCCAGAGAAGAAAAGCCTAGTGATCTGCTACTGTAAAGATTGTTGTTGTTGTTTAGTATCGTGGAGTCGGTTCTGACTCATAGCGACCCTGTACAGGGTTTCCAAGGCTGTAAATCTTTACGGGAGCAGAACGCCTCATCTTTCTCCCGTGGAATGGCTAGTAGTTTCAAACTGCCCACCTTGAGGTTAGCAGCCTGATTCGTAACTACTACATTACCAGAGCTCTGTAAAGATTACAGCCAAGAAAACTGTGTAGAGTAGTTCTATGCCGTTTTACATGGGGTCCACTTGAAGGCAACTGGCTTGATTATATTGGGTTCGCATTCTATGAAATCACCGATCAAAGTTTACTTCCATTTCTAAGCCTTCCTCAGGAAGCCACCATCTGTTTCTTGTCTTTATAGAATGTTAAGTTCCGTTGAGTTGGTTCCGACTCATAGCAACCCTGCATGAGGTTTCTGAGGAGCGACTGTGGGTTTCAACCGCCGACATTGCAGCTCAAACTGACTTTGTGGTCCAGCGCATTATTCCCTAGCACCACATTTTCTAGAATTTAAAAAGTAAATGAAAGTAGATAATATACAGGTAGTAGTCCCTGAGTTACCAATGTCAGAGTATTTGTTTGTTCAAGGGAGATTCAGAAAGTTAGTGGAAAACAGAATAAAAAGATACTGGAAATTTTCCATGAACTTTTTGAACTCCCTTATGAATCAAACTCCTATGTACAACATGTCGTTTATGTACCAACTCCCAGAAAGCCTATTATATTAAAAAAAATTCAAGGTACATACAATGGTTTGTAATAACATTTGGATTTTTTTTTAGCTACAGGCATAAAAATGTTTTATTGTAAGATATTTTAGTGTATCTGGATATGTTTTTTGAAAAGATATTTATGCATAGAAGGGTACACTGTCTGTGAGGGGATTTACAAAAGTTAGTGGGAAAATTCCATTATCTCTAAATTTCATTATCCACAAACTTTTTGAAACCCCTTCACACTGTATTCTAAGACAAACATTTGACTTAAAGACGGTAGATATGAACCACACTTAACTTATGATTATGTAGATAGTCTTCTTAAAGACAGACTTAGGAATAGTACTTGTGCTATGTGAGGGCTGCCTGTATACTCTTTTAGGTGAAAGATTCTTGGTTCTTTCATTAAGTATATGTATTTTGAGATTCATGTTATTGCATGTATCAATAGTCATTCACTTTTAGAACTGGAATCCTCATACACTGCTGGAGGAACTGTAAAATGATGCAGCCTCTGAAAATGGTGTGGACTTCCTCAAAAAGTTGGAAACAGAAATACCGTAAGACCCAGCAATCCCTCGACTTGGTATTTATCCTAGAGAAATAAGAGCCACTCACTGTCTTCGTATCACTATTTACAACAGCAAATAGACGGAATCAGTCTAAATGCCTATTAATGAAAGAATGAATAAACAAACTTTGGTACATACACATAATGGAATGCTATGCAACATTCAAGAATAAAGGATCTGGGATACACCTCATAACATGGATGAACCTACAGGACATTATGCTGAATGAAATTAGTCAAGCACAAAAGGACAAATATTAAATGAGACTGCTATTGTCAAGAAAAGGTTTTCACGCTGAAAGAAACATTCTTTGATGATTACCAGGAATGGGAGGGAAGGGAGAGTGATTCACGGGCTAAAGGATTATTGTTGTTAAGTGTTGTCGAATCTGTTCTGTCTCATAGTGACCCTATATAGGGTTTCTATCTATGGATAGAGCAAGGTGAATGAATGTGGGAGGAAGAGTGGGAGTGTTTTTTAAAAAGTAGTAATTTTTATTATTGAGTAGTATTCCATTGCAGGATATACTACAATTTATCTGTTGAGCAGGACACTTGAATTTCCAGAGTTTGCCTGTTACAAATAAAGCTGCTATGAACGTCATGTACAAGTTTTTGTATGCTTTAGTTTTCTCATGACTGAATCTCTCTCTAGAAGAGTGGTGATCACGGTAGATGTCTGCTGAATGTTTTAATAAACTGACAAAGTCTTTTCTGGTAATATTTTATATTCCCACCATCAATTTGTGAGAGTTCCATTTACTCCACATCGTTTCCAATAGTCTTTTTAATTCTAGCCATGTTACTAGGTGTGTTTGGAGTACAGTGGCTCTGTAAGATAAACACTGAACTATGAACCACAGGCCTGGTGGTTCGAACCCACCAACTGAGGCTGTTTTCTCCTGCAAAGATTTACAGCTTTGAAAACCTTAATAGGTTTGCTGTGAGTCCGAACTGATTCTGAGGCACTCACAGAGCAATAGGTGTGTAGTTGTATCTTATTGTGGTTTGAATAATGATGTTGATTACTTTCTGTGTACTTTGTTATTTGTATAACTTCTTTTGTGATGTGTAGTAGAACAGGATATACTAGCAACATTCTTGCAAGCTGTAGTGAAAAATAAAGAATTTTACACACATTTTCATTTCCTGCCTTTCATATTTACTTATTTGTGCCCATTCCAAAGGAAGATGATCTAACTGGATGCAGAAATTATTGAACAGTATCATTAATATCACACATAAGTAAAAATTTGCTGCAGATAATTAAAAAATTGGTTGAGAAGTACTTAGACAAAGAACTGCCAGAAATTCAAGGTGGAATCAAAAGAAGATGCAGAATGAGGGCTATCATTGATGATGTCATATGGATCTTGGCTTAAAGCAGAGAATACCAGAAAGATATGTACCTGTGTTATGTTGACTATGCATAGAAAATTTGACTGTGTTGATCATAACAAATTATAAATAACATTGCAGAGAAAGGGAATTTCAGAACACTTAATTGTGCTCATACAGAACTTGTATGTAGATCAAGAGGCAGTCATTTGAACAGAACAAGAGGATAGGTTTGGGTATCAGGTTTGTATACTTTCAGCGTACTTATTCAGTCTGTATGCTGAGCAAATAAGCAAATAATCCTAGAAGGTGGGACTATATGAGGAAGAAGGCAGCATCAGGATTGGAGGAAGACTCATTAACCACCTACTATGAGCTCTGCTATTGTAGTGGTTACGAATCGGGCTGCGAACCGCAAGGTCAGCAGCTTGAAACTACCAGCTATTCCTTGGGAGAAAGATGAGGATTTCTGCTCCCTTAAAGATTTACAGCCTCGGAAACCCTGTACAGGGTCACTATGAGTCGGAACCAACTCTATGGCACATAACAAGAACAGCATCTGCAGATGACACAACCTTGCTTGCTGAAAGCAAAGAGGACTTGATACACCTTCCGATGAAGATCAAAGACTACAATCTTCAATATGGATTACATATCAACATAAAGAAGGTAGAAATTCTCACATCTGGATCAGTAAGCAACATCATGATAAATGGAGAAGAGATTGACGTTGACAAGAATTTCATTCTACTTGGATTTACAATCAATGGTCATGGAAAAAGCAGCGGGCAAATCCGCTGTAAAAGAGATCTCTGAAATGGTAGGTCATGCTTTAGACTGAGGTGTGCCATAGTAAATAAGATGGTTGGACACAGTGGCTGCAACAATGGGTTTGACATAGTAACCGTTTGTGATGGTGGTGAGGACTTGGCAGTAGTCTTTACAGAGGGCCACTATGACTTGAAATTGACTCAGTGTCACCTAACACCGCCACCTGTTTTCTTTCTCAGTTTTTTTTTTCAATCATAAAAGTAATTTGTACTTATTATAGAATTTCTTTGATATTTTGTGTATTGAGGAATGTACATTATGACTGCTTAAATTTTCTCGTTGGAAGAACTAGATTGCATGTTTGTGCTAGAAGTTCATAATTATCTAGAATTAGAATATGTTGTGAAGTGCCATTGAATCGGTTCAAACTGACCTCATGGTTCACTGTGTATTCTGTAGCAACACACCAGGACTCCACAGCGCCTCCCATAGATGTTGTTGTTAAAGTGCTGTTGAGTCAGTTCTGACTCATAGCAACTCTATATAGGGTTTCTGAGGAGCAGTTGGTGGGTTTGAACTGCTGACCTTGTGGTTCATAGTCCAGTGCTGATTCTACAGTGCCACATCAGGAGTCCATAGATGGTACTGATTATAGGTAATCTGCCCGTTAATGGGTCACCATCACTCATTAAACCAGACTTTTAATCAGGAGAGCTCGTGGAAGTAGAACTAAAGTTTATTTTTGAAGAAGTCTCCTTTTTCCGAGTAATAGATTCCAGGTGAACGCTTTGAAGAAAGAAATTCTAATTTATTAATAGTAGATG